AAAAAAATATGTTTTATTATCTAAATTATAATAAACTAAACAACACTTCTTTTAAGGGAGAAAATCTATTTGAATGTAAAAATATATGGTATAATTTAAACCATATTAATATGCTAAATTACGAACCATTTTTTGCAATTAATGTAGTTTTGACTCTAAAAATGTTAATATATTCTATTGGTTATTGATACAAAAATATTAATATATTTTTAAAGAATCAATATATAAAATGATTTTTTTAATAATATGAATTTTATGTATTTCATACTAAAAGCATATTTCTCCTTGGATATATAATATTTATCTTTTTTATTTTAATATAAAAGGTATTTGAATTGCACTTTTATTTTTATAATATTTTTATCTAAGGTGACCTAGTATTAAAAACTAATTGAGTGATCAACATTACTTCACATGTGTGACAATTGATATTTATTGATTTGTTTAAATAATACCTCATATTGTATGAAGCATTATAGAAAATAGGATCCATACATCTTAAAGACTGAGAGTTCTAGTTCTACTTTTTGGGACCCTTAGTTCAGTTCCAATTATTTTAAGGTTAAGACCACACAATTGGGAAAATTAAAAATAAAAATCTCTAAAATTTTAATTTTAGAAAAATTAAAAAATTCATTATTATAAGATAAAAAGTAAATATTTTATTATTTATTAACTAACACTTACCATTGCACTGGCCCTTGAGACCTAGTGGCATAGTCACGGTGCATTCCCCTTCCCCCGGCAAGGTTCAAAAACCTGCCCTTACAAAATACGTTTAAAAAAAAAAAAAACTAACACTTACCATTATTAATTATTTTTAATAATTAAATTAATGTTTTAAAAATAAAATTTTAAAATTTATATCACCTCTACAGTTCGTTGTGCAGCCATGACTACAGTCCTAGATGCGTATATGCATGTATTTGATATTAAAAAGGCAAAAACCCTTCCTAAGCTCTTAAACTTATGTCAAAATAGCATTTAAGCCTTTAAATTAACAATGATGTAGATAAACTCTTCAATTCCACTAATAATGTAAATAATTCCTTTTCATTCATGAGTATTCATGTTTTCAAAGTGATATTAAATATGAAATACCATCTGATCCATTTGTGAGAAAAATTTATTTGTAACATTAATAGAGTTGAAGGATATATCTACTTTTATTTTTAATTTAAGAACTTAAATACTATTTTAAAGTAGGTTTAGAAACTTAATGAGGGTTTTTACCAATTAAAAACTTTCATTGTATGTTGTTCTATAATAATTTACAAGAGCACCCATACAAATGATCTGAT